AGCTGGTCATGTAATACTGCAGGACCTTCCTGGTGATGTCACGCTCCACGTGGGGGAGCAGCTGCGTTCGGGGGGCATGGACAGCAATTTGGCTGTAGGCCAGTATCAAAGCCCTGTGGATCCTGACTCTTTTCCCTTGGTGATAGTCCTGCACAGGGTGACACGACACTCACACCAGGGTTTCCCATGCCTTCTGCCCCCCAAGTAGGAATTGCTGCTGACCAAGGTGTTGCCCAGCAGCGATACCAGCTCTCCTTGCCAGTCACAGGAGAGCCACAGCTCTCAGCACCGTCATCAGTGCTTTGTTTCACATGCCTCATCTTCTCTGTCCTGCAGCCTGGGTTACTCAGGCAGAGAGAGCTGCAGTGCCACTGTGAGCCATGGAAGTTGGGGCAGGGGCAGGGGAGAGTTTGTGACTGACAGAAACTGGGGCAGCAGATGCATTGTGTCCAGGGCCTCCTCATGCATTTGGCAGTAAGGAGTCCCTGGGCACAACACATTGGGAAGGCTGCTGTAGGTCTCTCCATGTGAAGGAGGTGGCTCTGCCTGTTGTGCTTTGTGCAAAAGCTGAAGCTGAAGCTCTTGGCAGCTGTTTGGGGCACCATGAACACCCTGCTTGATGCGGCCTGGACCCAAACACCTGTGAGTGCTGAGGTGCTCAGCTCAGCCATGGTGGTGACTCTGCTGGGCTGGGTGAGTCCTAGAGGAGAACCTTAGGCTGCATTTTGCAGGAAACAGGTAGGTGCCTCTAGACTCTCCAGCACCTGCTCAGGGAGGTGGGTGGGCATGTGGATTATGCACTCGCAGCTGGTACTTTGAGGCTGGGCAACAGGGCTCATATCTGCTCTCCCACGGCTAACTGAAAGATGTGAGAAATACACAATCTCTTTCTCTGGGTGAACAACAGATGTAGTTGCCTCAGTGCCTGAAAGGGGCTGGTTAACTGTTGGCCCCTTAACCTGGGACATGAAAAACATGAGTAGTAGAAACTGTGTTCCCCTCTGTATCACTGGAGACCTGATGTGGAGCACGTCCCCTGGGAGAGGGCATGTCCCAGGGAGAAAAGCCACTGCCAAGCTGTTCTTTAAGCTCCATTACCTGTAGGCGGCCGACTATTCCAGACACCTGCACTTTACTTATAGCAGCACCAAAGTCCTCCAGTGTGCCCAGGGTGAGGTCCAGGTGGCCTTTGGCTGAGAATGCCAGGATGGTCACAACGTGCTGCAACCCAAGAAACGCATTGGTGAGTGAGCAGGACCATCTGGCTGACAGACCCAAGAGTCCTCCCCATCTCCCAATACTAGAACTGCCTATCTGACCTGCAACAAGCCAGGGGGCTGTCCGAGGGAAAGAACAAGGGAAGGCCATGAAGCAAACAAGCCCCAGACACAGAGCAACAGAGAAGTGAGGACACAGGAGGACCTGGCCATGTCTGGAGAGAACAGGGTCCTCACCTCTCTTTCAGAAGCATTCATGTAATCTGTGCCCTTCAGAGATTTCTGGAGCTGGGATTTCACATGGGCAACATCCTGGCAAGAGGCCAATGTGGTACCAAGTGCCTTATATAGGAAACTCTGAAAGAAGGAGAGCAATATCACCACAGCTGGGAACACAGCAGCTTGCTGGTCAGGACAAGAACAGGCCAGAAACACACCCGTCCCTAGGAAGGACCAAGAGAGTCCAGCCCCAGCACCCACACACCAAATAACTGGCCCCACTCTGCAGGGAAATGGCATCTAAAGGCACAGAAAGAGCCCCGCTAAGCACTCCCTTTGGGTCAGTGAAGAAAACAGACAACCAAAGACAATGCCTTTGATCAAGAAAATAGAACGGGAAAACACAAACTGTGGAGAGAAACTCTCTGCAGCCTCCTGCCACAGCACCACGAAACAGCTGCGGAAACCCAGCCATTGCCAAGAGCACGCACCTTCTCCGGGGAGGAGCAGGCATAACTGGCTGTCTGGTGCTGCAGCTCCAGGCTCAGCTGACTGCTCCAGGCATCGTCGTCAATGGTCTTCAGTGACATGTTCAGGAACTGAGGGCACAAGTGAAGGGAAAGAAAGGGTTGGGTGCATGGGCTGAGTCTCTGTCATCCTCCTCTGCTGTTCCCTTTCTAGCACCCAAGTCTCACAGGGAGAGGACACCTTTGGAGAACGCTACAGGTGGACACCCCAGGATCTTCCTGCTTCTTGCTCTCCCCTCCTCATCTCTGCCCAAGGATCCTTCACAACCTTGACACCAGCAGGCAGAAATTTGGAAGAGATTGTGCCAAGAAACCTGTCCATTGGGGACAGATTGTGTAGAGCAGGGAGGATGGATCAAGTCAAAAAGGCGCCATGGGCTCTACAATGGGCACCTCCAACTGCCAGGGATTTCAGTGCTTTGTTGTGTTGAACTTGCACTGTGATAGGACCTGGGAATTGCAGAATCCCCCTACCAAGGCCTCATCTCTTTCCATTTTTTGAGCTCAAAGACTGTACAGAAAGGCTGGAAGATCCCAAATGGACATCTCTGGATGTCAATCCAAACTCAAGGCAACTGGCAAACCTTCCAAGTTGGACTCTTGCTGGGTTATTGACTTTCATCACCTCGTTTCCCTGAGGCATGAGGGAACCCTCCCTTCGCAGACAGCCCTACCCAGTTTGGCTGGCTACAACAGCTCTGAGAGCCATCCTGTACCTTCAGCAGCAGGTGCTCCCACCACACATTGTCCTGGGAGGTCTCAGGATTTCCTGAAGGTGGGAGGCAAACAAGAGGGATGTCACTGCCGCAGGCACTGAAGAAGAGTCATAGCTGCCTCCCTGGGAATCAAGTCTTTGGAAGCTACTACATCTGCACCCTATCACCTCCCAGGATCCCAAGGTCACACGCCCTGTGCTCTAGTACATACCATGCTGGCATGTCTGGAAGTTGTGCATGACCAGTCCCTGCAGAACTGGCCATAAGGGGAATTTCATAGATTTCATAGACATTAGGGCTGGAAGGGACCTCGGAAGATCATCGAGTCCAGCCCCCTACCCAAAGGGCAGGAAGTCAGCTGGGGTCATAGGATCCCAGCAAGATAAGCATCCAGTTTGCTCTTGAAGGTGTTCAATGTAGGCACTTGAACAACCTCCGGTGGCAGGCTGTTCCAGACCTTGGGGGCTCGGACAGTAAAGAAATTCTTTCTTATGTCCAGCCTGAAACGGTCTTGTAGTAGTTTATGACCACTCGACCTAGTCGTCATCCCTTGGGGTGCTCTGGTGAACAAACGTTCTCCCAGATACTGGTGGTCACCCCTGATAAACTTATAGGCGGCCATCAGATCACCCCAGAGCCTGCGCTTTTCCAGGCTAAAGAGCCCCATGGTTCTCAGCCTGTCATCATAGGGTCTGCTTCCCTGACCTCTGATCATGCGCGTAGCTCTTCTCTGGACTCTCTCAAGCTTCTCCACATCCTTTTTGAATTGTGGAGCCCAAAACTGGACGCAGTACTCCAGCTGCGGCCTCACTAAGGCCGAATACAAGGGGAGAATGATGTCCCGGGATTTGCTTGAGAAGCATCTATGGATGCAAGCCAGCATTTTGGTCACTTTACTAGGAATGGAGGGTGCTCAGCACCTCATGGATGTGCTCGGCACAGCACAGTACAGAACTGGGCTTCATAGAAGGGCAAAGTGCACAGGGTTTTCCTCTGGCAACAGAAACCTCCCAAGTGTGCAGGGAACTGCAGGAGAGCAGTTGCTGTGGTGGAGCCCTTCACAGGCAAACCCTGCTCTGGGTCCCATCAACCTCAACGTTGTCAAGCCCCTGGATTCACCCTCTGTGACAAAGAGTAGAAGCTCCCAAGCATGCGATGCTGCAGAAGGGGAATGGTACCACGGGGGGCTCCAGGAGGCTGCAATCACCCCTCTCCCTTTCCATTCTGCAGAGATCACTGTGCTCCTTCCTTGCTTGTTACCTTCAATAGCCGAGAGCAGGATGGGAATCTTGATCCTCCACTGCTCTCCAACAGCAGGGTGGATCGTGCGGTGCAGAGCCCACAGTCCCCGCAGGGCAGAATGTGCGCGGCTGCTGTCACCCAGGGCCGAGGCAACCACCTGACAACGAGAGAGAAACAGGGGCTCAGCTCTGGAGCGGGACTCCATGGCTTTCTTTAGGAGGGAAACTGGCCTCCACCATACATGGCCAGAGCATTCAGCAATCAGACACAGGCTGAGGTGCTGTGCTAGGCTGATCCTGCATGCCCCTCTGCAGGCTGCGAGGCAGGGGCAGAACCTGGCTCTGCTCTGCCAAGGGAAGGAAACTCTGCCAGCACAGGGCAGCTCTGAGTGTGGGAAGAGACAGTGTGCTCCTCCAGCTAAGGCTATAGACACGTGGCCCCGCACCACTGACCCTCCCCGCACCTCTGGCAAGTACCTCTCCAGGGCTACTCACCAGCAGTCGCGCCAGCAGCCCCTGGGCCTTAGGAAGTTTGGCTGGAAAGAGAAAGAGAGCATGGCCATGTGGGGCTACTTTGGAACAGAGGATGCTGCTACAAGCCTGTCCATTCCCAATGCGTCCACCCGTGGATGCTCAGGGAGCTGGGCACAACTGGCACTTTCCTGGTACCTTCCGTGTCTGGATCTCAAGCTTTACCAAGGAGCCTTCACTCCCAGCCCCTCTGTTAGGCAGGCACTGCTCAGTCATCATTGGATGAGTGGGGAAGCTGAGGCAAAAAAGCCCTGGGATTCCCCTATGGCACAGCATAAATCTGGGGCAGCTGTGGGTTCGAGCAGCCCACATTGCCTGGCTCCCCCTCCCAGGTTGTAATGACCCAACTGTTCCTCCCACCTTTGGGCCTCCTCATAGTGCATGGAAGAGGCTGAATATTTTCTATGAGGCAGGTGGAGCGGGTTCATCCCACAGGGATTTTGATTCCAAACCTTCTTTGCTGGGGTCCATCCAAGCCACTTCTTCTCCCTCCCACTGCGGTTGCTCGGCCAGGTCCCCGAGGCATCGGCACAGGGGGGTCAGAGTGCAGCTGTACTGAGCTGGCACTATGTACTCCAGCAGCCGGGGCCATAAGACCTGGAGAGAAGAGCCAGACAGCTTGGACTCAGCTACTTGTACCCCTGCACCCAGCTCTCTTCATCCAGTGCTCAAGGACAGTCTCCTCTTCGTCACCAATGACCCACCCACTTGAGGGTCCTTCCCCCACCCATGACCTCATGTCTGTCTCTCAGGAATAGCTGATCTCTGAAACCCTGTTCTAACACTGGCCAAACAAGTCTCAATTTCAGAGAAGACTGAGCAGAGCAAGGAGAGAGAATGAGGAGGCCAGCTCAGCACAGGGATCCCTTCCAGCTGGGGTGTTGTATGTCATTCCTTAAATGGCGGCAGCTTGCTCCATAACTCACGGCCAGCACTGGGCATGATGTATCTCCATTAACCTGGTCATGCCCCAGTGGAGAGGTACAGGGGATGAAGAGAAATATCTTGATAATGCAAGGGCAGCAACTAACTGGTAACCTACTTGGCTCATGACACTGATTGAGACATCCAGATGTTCCAGGATCTCCACACAGGTGGCTCGGATGCTCTGTTCCTCCTCAGCATCCTGACTGGAATGGTTTTTGGACTTCTGCACAAGAGACCAAGAGAGAGCTCATGAGCAAGTCAAGAGGCAATGACTGGACACTCAGTCTCCATCTCCTTCACAGCCAGCTTGAACACTGCACAGTTACCACTGATTTTATGTTCTGCTCAAAGCACAACTCACTGCAGCTGAGATAATAAAAGAAAAATCAGACTGATGGGGCAGGTTCCCAGTTCAGAAAGACCTCCAACACTGCAATGAGTTGCTGAACACAAAGTGTCTCTGGGGCCTGGGAGTGGGTTGTCTTGAAACCTGCCAAGTATTCATCTCCCTGATCCTTCCAAGAGAACCCTTCAGATTCAGCCCAGCAGACACAAAGGTGCAGGCATCACACACCCGTTGTGCTGCGTCTGCTCCAGGGCCCAGCCAGCTCAATTGCCTCATCACTGTGATTCTATCAATGGGCCAAGCTATGTCCTGGGCACCAAGACATGTCCTTGGGAGTCTGTTTCTACCAGAGAGCATTGCTGTTCTCAAGGAAGTTTCCCTGACAGACTGTATGTCACTTCTCAGTGCCTGATGGGGCAAATCTCAGCCTCATCAGAAGATGTACATAGTCCAGATCAGAGTCTGGTCTTGCTAACACCCTGGGGAAAATCCAGAGTAGCTGCACTGACATCTTGAGACCTCCCTTGGATCTGTTGTACCAGTGGAAATGGTCTGACCCTGGTTCTGATGACTCAGCCTGGCAGCCCTGGGGCACCCCACTCTCCTGCTCAAGCCAATGGCAGGTTTCAGCCTGTTAGAACAGCAGCACCAAGTCTCCAGCCTTGATTGCTCTTACCATTTGGCTGCCAGACAAGCTGGACTGCTTGAAAATATAGGCCACTAAGTCCCAGGCCCACTCATCCAGGCCCTGCACATTGAGCAGTGTCTTAATGAAATGAAGGACGGCCTTCTTCACCTGGAGGGGAGGAGAGGACAGATTGGAGTCAGGACAGCCCTTATGCGCTAATGGTGACGGGGACCGGCCATGTCACAAACCCTCCCTCAAACCTTGGAAAGGAGACAAGGAGGGAGAAGGGTCCCCAGGCCTTCAATTTTATTTCTAGGGTTTATAAAGAGGAAAGAGAACAGTGTGTCTTTGCTACTCAGTAGTCCCATATTGGCAGCGGAGGGAAAGCAGATCCCTTCCCCACTGGCAAACTGATAACACTTCCCCAGATCCTGACTCTCCCCAGCTCTGGAAGCAGCGGGGCAGACTCTCTGCACTGCCTTCCCTGAAGATGCTGACAGGGAAGAAAGGTTTTCTCTAGAAGAGAACCAAGAATCTCGGGTGGGAATTTTGTGTCAGGGCCATGTGCCATCCCCAGCACAGCCACTACTCACAAAACA